GGTTGTACATACCAGTTAAGTATATTTTTTAATCTGCTCTATCTTTAAAATAATTTAACAACAACAACAACAACAACAACCATACATGACTCAAATATGTTGCAGTATTTTATTAATTTAAAATAAAATCTTAGTAATTGATTTTGTTTTAATATTCTTTATCTCTAGATATTTGCATATTTGAATGCCTATATAAAAATAAATGGATATTGTTTCTCTTTCCAGTGTATTTCAATTATGTTTTTATGTTTATGTGTTCATGCTTGCATGTCTGTATGTGTACCAAATACATATGGATGCCCTCAGAAACTGGTGAGGGAGTGAGACTCTGTGGAATCTGAATTCTGGTTGTTTGTGAACTGTGTGATATGGGGGATGGAAACCAAACTCAGGTCATCTTCAAGATTACCAAGTGATCTTTATTGCTGAGGCATTCCCTTAGTAGTACTTCTTCATCTTCAAAATTATTATAATTATCCAATATGTTTTATGTAATTAAGTAGTAAATGATATGTATAAAATAAAATTAATAGTCTATTATTAGAATTATTGACATAACATTTCTTTCCAGTTTACAGAATACTATAGTATTTTATATCTTATAATTCATAGTAAGAAAATAATATTTTACTACAAAACTTTAAAACAGTAAGTGTAGGAAACATGTCATTATTTTCTTTCCATTGATAATTTATATTTTTATCTTAAATCAAAAGCACATTTGTCATAATGTAATGTTTGGCTAGGATAATAATTTCTAATGTGGTAATTTTATTACTAGTTCAAAATAAAAATGTTTTATTACTGATCATATACTATTTATTTCCCAATGAAAGGCAATAAACCCACTTGATAAAATATTTAAAAATAAATTAAATAATTTTATCCATCAGAGATGTACTAATCATAATTTACTATTTGTTTTCATGGGAATATGTCCATATTCTATAATTACTTTAATTATTATTTTCCATTTTTAAATGATTGTTATGATTCTTTGCTGAATAATTTAAATTTTGGCTTAATTCTCTTTAAATTGGCTTCTACTACAGAAAAGATAGTTATAGTTTCACACAACAGTTCTTAACAGATTTTGATGAGTTAAAATGAGTATTTTCCTTAGAATCAGTTTTAAAACTTTATGTACTGCACAAAGAAGTGTAGGGTATTTTTAAGTGTTCACATCCATAAGACTATATGATTCAACTATATTGACATAGAGAAAATATCATTCTGTATTTTTAAGGTTGAGCCATTATTTTGTTGAAAGGAAATAAATTGTTGATAATTGATTCAATAAAACTTAAAATTGTTTACTGGTACACATAACAGGTTCATTCCTTATTGTTAATATTATGTTTATTTCCTCCAGTGATTGGATGATATAAGAGCCTTACCCAAGCTGTGCAGACACACATCTTGGGCTGAACCCAGAGCATTTCTTCCTCTCTTTTAACTATCCCTATGCTTATGCCTCAAAACTTCTAGCCTCTGCACAATTTAATCTTCAAAGCTGAGTCAATCTGGCTTTTTGCAGCTTCTGACTGAAATGGTCTGCTTGACCTCATAGTAACTTTGAAAATATGTCATAATCTTTTGGCCCCTTCTCCTTCTCTGTCTCCTTCTGTCTTCATCTGTATTTACCTTGTTCTCCTTGCCACCTGTCTCTGTAAAACAGTCCCTATAAAGGAACCACAAATACACATCACATAACACAGATTTCTCTCCCTGGTTGCAAAGAAATAGGGAAAAAATTCTTTAAACCTTTGCTGTTAACGTGATGTTTTAAATGACATTTTTAGGTTACAAGCACATTTCCTATTAATAATTGGTCAGTCTCTTCATTTCCTTGTGCCAGTAGGGCATGCAATCTCTTCTGAAATTGAATATTAGTCATATATAATGGATAATTTCTGTTTCATATTATCTGTTGCAGATGTGTAAATAAGAAAGTTAATTCTGAACTATCTGGAATAAGTTCAGCAGTTTATACGTGCAAAATAAATTTTATGACTAGTACCTCAGGAAGCTTTAACAGCATTAATTTAGCACTTAATTCCTTGATTGGTTTTGGTTGTGTACAAGAAATTTATCTAGAGTGAGTTCCAGGACAGCCCAGGCTATACAGAGAAACACTGTCTCCAAAAACAAAAAAACAAAAAACAACAAAAGAAGTTCAGCTCACCCTGAAATTTTTCCTCCCATGAAGGGACCATTGATAATGAGTTATTCTCACTTTTAGGGAAAAAATTATTTCCAATAAAGAGATCTAAAATCAAGCAAGCAAGCAAATCTATATTATAGACTGGATTTGTTATGCAGCAGCATAGCTGCTCTAGCAAGGGATCATATCCAAAGACCTCCTAGATCTCTATGAACCAACTGGAGTGCAGACATAGCCTGGATCACAGCGTGATCTGGTTGGAGTACAGACACACCCTTAGTACACACATTTAACCCCCCCAAATGAAGGTAAGGTTATCTTGTAGAAGGAAGTAGTCATGTTTGAAAGTGATGTCTAATTCAGAGGTAGACAAAGTGATGAATAAAGGGAAAGATTTATTAGAATGAGTCACAGATAGGATATGTTCAAATCTCACAAGAACAGCAAAAGAAAGAGAGATTACATATGAGAGTTTATATATATATATATATATATATGTATATGTATATGAGATATATATGTGTGTGTGTGTGTATGTGTGTGTGAGTGTGTATAATTTTTCATCTATTAATTTCAGTGGAGTTCAGAGAAAATCAAGAAATATCATAAATACTCATTGCACCTTGCTGTCTATGAGTGATTCACATTTTACATGTTTAGAAAGATGATTCCATGACAACTCCCATCCTCCAGGAGCTCTGGCATTCCAGTGGAGAAAGCCTTCTTTTTTCTTCTGGATCACAGACACTGCATTCTCCTCTAGGTAGTCAGGATTCTCAAAGTTTTTCGCTTTTTTTTATTTTTTGCTTTTTCCTTATTTACTTTACATCCCACTCACCCCCCCCCCTTCCTGGGACAGCTTTAATGAGAGAGTTTGCAGAGAGAACACATTAAACAGTGGTGAAAATAGAACAAGTCAGAGAATGAAAAGCATTTAGAAGAAGTTAGAATGAAAAGAAGATTAGAACATATTGTCAAAGTTGGTAAGAGGCCTAGCAGAGCAATTCAGTCAGAAGCCAAGAGAATATGGATTGAATCAGTTTACTTGGAAGATTGAATTGTAGAAAGGCTAGAAGCTTCTAGGCCTGGGAATAGTTTGCAGAAAGAAATAAATGCTCAGGGCTGAGCCCAAGAAGTATATTTATACAGCTTAGATATGGTCCTCATATCATCCCATCATCTGAGGAAATAAAAATAACATCTTATATTTTCTGTAAATACATAAGTGAAATACCCTACAACAATGTTTTATGTTGGAAATTTTTTAAATTTCAAAGCCTTCAAAACAGTCTTGTCAAGGTTGGACAGTTCCTTCTCTCTGGAGGCTTAAGAAGCCTGAGAGATGTAGATTTTCATTTGTAGAGTTTGGAAAAAATGCTATCATATTTTTAAGGATGGGGCCATGGATCTGACAGAAAGCACTGGGATGGCATAAGGCAGGTGTTGGAGAATGGGAAAGGAAAGAAGAAAGTGATTTATTCATATTTAAATTCCAAAAAAAGAATGTAGAGAGAAATTCAGAATGGCCCACTCAATTTCCAGAAATAAAAACAGTCCCTCATTGGATTCCTATCCCAGTGGTAAAGAGATCTTCACAGGGTGTAAATATCTCTAAAATTTCTGATTTTGTTCATCCTTGAGTGCTCAGTGTGCTTCTGAGATGTTCATCCTTAAAGTTTCAGGCAAGTTTTGGGACAGGTAACCTGTTAATACAAGGTGTCATGGTTTATATATGCTCAGCCAAGGGAGTGGAACGTTTAGAAGGCATGGCCCTGTTGGTATAGGTATGGTCTTCTCAGAGTAGGTGTGTCACTGTGGCCATGGGCTTTAAAATCCTCATCCTAGCTGCCTGGAAGTCAGCCTTCAGATGAAGATGTAGAACACTCAGCTCCTCCTGCACCATGTCTGCTTGGATGTTGCCATGCTCCTGCCTTAATGATAATGCCGTGAATCTCTGAATCTATAAGCCAGCCAAATTAAATGTTGTCCTTTAAAAGACTTATCATGGTCCTGGTGTCTGTTCACAGCAGTAAAACCCTAAGTAAGATACAAGGTGAGACAAATTCATTTATATTTTCCTGGAAGCTAACTGTCAGAATGATATTTGAGTTAAAGCTGACTAAACACATTTTCCTGGTTTAGAGATTTCAGAGTATTTTTGAAGCTTAATACCCTTAAGTGTAAGTACATAACACACCATTGCCATAGGAATACGCTACAATTTACTCATGTCTCCATTTGAAATCAACTAACATTGTTCATTTATCAACTTTATAGTAATGTGACCTCATAATTTAATCTTGAACTTGACTGTCAAGAGTATCTGCTCTACAGCTACAAGTGATAAAGATATTTTTATATGCTGTCATAGGAGTATATAAATTTTCATACCATGCTTATGATTGACAGTTAAACTCCCTAACATATTTAAAAATGTTCATGGTAATGAGAAGTTCCTTGATAGAGATGTCACTGAGCTGTTGCTTCTCCACACATCTAGACTTTATGTTCCACATTACTATCTTGCCAATTCATAGTCAGTGTCAACAGGCAAATATCATGTTCTTTCATCTAATTCTTTCATCCTGGAACTCATAATGATCTGTCATAAGGAAATACGGTAGGATGATGATGCCCCTAGTCATCTCAGACTATTTCCATGTGAGGGCACCCTGGTAATGGTCTTGGGCTCACTCCTCACCCTAGCCTTAGTGGTCTAGTGCCCATTCCCACCTAGAGCCATGGTTCCATGTAGGATTCTTCTGGTCTCTAGCTTGCTTGCTTCCCTGGGTGTCCATCTGGGCCTGTGTGGACCAGTGGGCCAAAGCGACTACCAACTGCTCCTAGAGGTACTGAAGGTGTGACGGTTGTGTCACATGTTCATCAGTAAATGACAACAAGTAGAGAGGCTATGTTTATGTTCAGTGATCAGACCTGAGAAAATCAAAATGATAAGTAGATTAACACTCCCTAAAAAAAAGGGGGGGAGCCTGAGACAACCATCAGTCTGGTTCCACACAAGTCCATTAAATAAATTAAATTAACTTAAAAACAGAGAATTTTAAAGTCTATGACTCTTTTGTCTGCTTTTAGGCCCATTTACTTATACTGAGTTTCCTTGTCCAGCCTTAATAAGAGGGGAAGTGCTAGTCGTATTGTAACTATTAAAGCCATATTTACTTATATTCCCAGGAGAACTACCCTTTTCTGGAGGGCCAAAGGAGGACCAGATGGACAGGAGGAGAAAGGTACAGGTGTCAGTGAGGGTGTGGACTGTGAGGGAAGGAAGGTGGGGAAACTGTAGTAAGGATTTTATATATATATATATATATATATATATATATATATATATATATATATGCTATTCCTCCCTCCCCAGTGGGAAAAAAAGCTGATATTTCTTAGCACTATGGGCTTCTGGCATTGAAGCATACAGTGAGGTAGAAGCAACAATCTAGGGCAGAAATAAAGAAACATGTCAAATGATAGAAATATACTTAGCTTGTATCTTTCATAAATATAATAGCCATTGAAGTCATCTGTGACATTGTGAGCCAAAGACATATGAAGTATAATTTCCAAATATATCTTATTGTCTCCTTTAACTTTTTTCTTCCTCTTTTTATTGGAAATACATTTTTCTTCCATAAAATATATTCTGATCACAGTTTCCACTCCATCGTCTCCTATCAGATCCCTCACATCCCCACCTGCCCATCTCTATGCCCTTCTTTATCTCTTTAGAAACCAAACAAGACAAGATACCATTAAGGGGAATATTATAAATTTAAGTCTGGTTATTTGATAATTCTAAAATACTTTTTTCCAAAAGTAGTTTGTTCAATTTAATTAATCGTCTAAATCCTTCGTCTTTGAAATTTTGGAAACTGTAACTCCACCATTATTTCATGCACGTAAACCTAAGATTGCTCTAAGACCATTGGAAGATACATAGGATGACTCAACAAGTACTTTAGATAATTAATGATGTTGTTAATGAAATATAAACAATCATAAGTAAAGTCAGAAATATTCCACAAAACCATAAAGCAGATTTACATGTATGGATCAAAATATTTTTCACCTGTGATTATAATATATACATTTTTGAGAGGAGAAAAAAAAGGTGACAATACTCTTTTCAGCAAATAACCATTGTACTGCTTTTAACCAAAATAATCTTGTTTATTTTATTTAAAGGACCTGTTGGTATGGAACTCTAATCTTCTTTATAAACACGAAAGTGAGAGTTGAACGTATCAAGAAATGTATAGAATACAAGAAGATAAGCGTCTCATAAGTCTTATTAGCTTATCTATGTGATTGTAGTTGGAGAAATTTTAATACTGATTCATAGCACAGTGTAAACATACCATAAAAAATCTATGTAATTAATTATTTCCTTCCTTTTGACCTAATGTTATTTCAAATTGTTAATTCTTTTAGTTCATTTTTGCATTAAAATACTCATAATATAATTAGTTGGATGTATTCATTTTTTCTCACAGTGAAGTAGAAAATGAAAGATGAGAAGAAAACAGAAGTTTATTTCTACTTATGTTCCATTGGCCAGAAAATGGATCTCATACTATGATCTAAGTCAATGATATAGAAGTACTTTTTTGCATATCTACAACAATTAAAAACAAAATTGGCTTTAGGACCAAGTGTTCCAAAGAAATTGAAAGGACCTTGAGAACATTGCTAATAGAAGCATGTAGGACTCTGATTTTGGTCAGGAGTTAGAGTGCATTGTGACTGTTGTCAGTAAAGGAGTAAGGAAGAATAAGAAATGCTTTTAGAATATAATAGAAAAGAGACCCACATTATGTCAGAAAATGTCACCAAACTGTTACATTTCCTAAAATGAAGAGAAGAAAATGAATTTAATAGCCCGAGCATCTTACAAACTAGAATTCTTGGAAGAGAGTTGAGAGTACTATCCAAATGACTTTTACAACAAAACAAACATAGTGGGAGATACACTAAAGAATGAGTTATTCGTTTGCACTGAAGTGGAATTTTGGTGCTGTTACAAAAGCTCTGCATAAGCTTTCAGCCAACAAAGCATCTCAAAGAATAAAATAACCCCAACTGAAAGATCATAGCCAGAGTTGGGGTGTAAAATCCTCAGTTAAAGATGTTTAGAAAGACTGAAACACTTGACTCAGACATTTCCACATAGATGAAACCTTAATCACATACCTTCATCATCTTTTACTTTAATTATAGCAATCTTTAAAGAGTTATGGAATGATTCTTTGTAGCAGCCAGCTATATTGTAACACTATGCATTAAAAACACACATTTTCAATGATATTATAATGTTGTTAACATTTTTCCTTCCCTTTTCCTTTTCTAAACCTTATCCTATAGTACCCCTCACTCTTCTTCAAACTCATTGTCTCTTTTTAGGTTAATTTTTATCACACACACACACACACACACACACACACACACTTAGGAATATGCATGTGTATTCCTAATGTAACCTATTGAATTTATATAACGTTCCCTATGAGTATGTTTTTCAGCCTGACTGTCACTAGACAATCACTTGGTGAGCTCTTCCATCTGTAGGACCTCTGTTCTTACGGGGAGGATCACTGCTCTCACTACCAGTGAAACATAGCTGTCTGAAGATTTTTGCCCAGTTTTCCAAGTTCAACTCTCTTATTGTTTTGTTTTGTTTTGTTTTTTACCTTCATGGAAGAATCTATAGTTTGTTCTTCAAAGGAACAGTAATAAGTAAGAAATTTTTATAACCTCAGATTTTGAAGGGAGGCCAACAGTATGATAAAAGTATTGAAGCATTTCAAGCCCAATTTAATTATGGAAAATATAAGTCAAATGATGAAATAAAATTCTTTACAGAACATGGATATTCATTTAAAAAAAACATAAGCCTTAGTAAAGAAAAAATGAAAAAGCAAAACAAACAAAACAAACAACAAAACAAAACAAAAAACCCCAAAAAACCCAGGCTCTGAGTCACTGGAGTTCAGAGGCATAGGCAGCTCTCAGGATCATGTCTTCCGATTTTCAACATTTTTTTTCTTTAATTTTTTTATTGGATGTTTTATTTACATTTCATATGTTGTCCCCTTACCCCATCCTCCACCCACTCAGGAACCCCCTATCCCCTCAACCCTCTTCCTTCTTTTCTGTGGATGTAACCTCTATCTATCCCCCCACTCCCACCTCCCCACCCTCAAAATTCCCACCCCCTGGGGCGTCCAGCCTTCATGAGGTCAAGGTTCTCTTCTTCCACCTATGGCCAGCAGGGCCCTCCACTCTTACATATTCAGCTGAAGCCCTGGATCCCTCCCTAAGTGCTCCTAGGCTGGTGGTTTAGACCCTGAGAGCTGTGGTTGGTTGGTTGGTATTGTTGCTCTCCTCATGGTGCTGCAAATCCTTTAGCTCCTTCAGTCTTTTGTCATGGACACACCATAATTTCATACAATACAGTAGTGGGATGGAGCATGATAATTGATCATTTCCACTCCAAAGTCTTCTGAATAATAAGAATGATAGACAAACAAACAAAACAAAACCTTATAGAATAAGATATCCTAAATATTTGGCTCTAATTTACAAAAAGATTTTGGACTTCTTTACTTATACCATAGCAGGATGAGACTTTATGTGATAGGATGAAAAAAAAAAGAATAGCAAATTCTAAGTAAGGGAATAGAAATTGGTACATTAACACATTTCATAGTAAAAATCATATTTATAGTAGATGGATGCAAAAATATAGCTTCTCCCATAAGAGGTTTTGAAATTCACTTTCCAATGTCTCATCAACATGGGAGTTGAATTTACTTTAACTAAGGAAGTGACAGAAATGAGGGTAAATGTTTTCAGGGCTGTGTCAGCAAAGGCAATTCATCACATCATGTTTAGAGTACATGTGTGCTAGTTCTGGAAATCTGAATTGGTATACAGAAAAAAAAAAAAAAACCCTTTCCTCAGAGCCCAGATAAGCCTACACAGAAAATACACATATAGCCTTTGTGCAAGAGGAAAACCACAAAGAAATGGCCACCAAAAATTTACAAATGTAGAGATTTAACCCCTGTAAATCTTCCACTGTATATTACTTTAAAACATTCCTTGATGAAAACTGAGTACCAAAAATAAATGTGATACCATGCAGCAGAGTAAGTACCATGCATTGAGTAACCCAACTCAATTTCTTTACATTTAGAAGAGTTTTTCTTTATCATATTTTAAAGTACATTTGTTTAACACACAGTGTAGCCAATAATTTTATCTTTGCTTCTCACAGTATCCACTGTCATAGGGTTTACAATCTATAATGATAGTGACAATGCATGAACACATAACCGGGAGACCCTAACTCAATAATTGTTTCATAGTAAAGAGTACAGAGAGATGAACTGATACTTTGAACGGTGAGGACCTAGGAGGGTTTATAATGTATAGTTTGAAATCGTTTTTGGAATATTCTTATTCATATAATTAACTATGTTTAGATTTCTGTAAATTTTTAAATACTTCTAAATTTTTAATAAAATGTTTATATGTTTTTTCAAATTTTATATCATTATATATCATTATGTTCATTCCTCTCTCTCGCACCTCAACTCCTCTGATCTCATACTTCCCCTCAAATTCATGACTTCCTTAATAATTACTGTTATACATATGTGTACACACGCACACACACACACATACTCACACATATAAACACACATACACACATACACGTAAAAACAAAAGAGTGTTAGGCAATGAGACTTGGGGGTGAAGAATTTATAAGAGAACTTTTACTTAAAACAAAACACCCCCAAAACAAAAACAAAATAGAAAATCTAACAAAAGACAAAACAAAACAGGAATCCTGGTTCTCCTTATCTCAGCAGTCATTGAACACCTATAGTTTTTATCTAAGGTGATATCATGAAATACTCCCCATCCATATTGTCATAGCAACCAACATTT